TACAAGAGTCACACAAGAGAGAGAGAGAGAGAGAGAGAGAGAGAGAGCGAGAGCGAGAGAGCGAAAGAAACGAAAAAGGAAAACAAAAAACCAAAAAAAAAAAAAAATCTGCGAAAATTGTTCAAATGTTGTTTTTTTATTGAAAAATTAATAATTATTATTATTTTGCGCTATTTGTTGTTGCTTGCTTTGTTCTTGGCAAATTAAAGAAAAAAAAAAATAAACAAAAAAACAATATTCAATCAAAATTATAAAAATCATAAAATTATACATAAATATAATGAGTAATAAACATAATCGTTAAAAGAAATCAAATCGAAAGAAAACTTTTTGAAAGAGAAACAAAAATTATAAAAAATAAAATCAATCGAAACACAATTTCAATACACAAAGTTCTCTTCATAAACATTACATATTAGATACGCATACATCTACATATATGTGCCGGCTAGGGTATCTGTGTGTGTGTGTATGTGTGTGTGTTTAGGGCAATGACAGAGTATACAAGAAATTATAATTTTAAATCATAAATAAATACATAAAATATTCAAAGTTTTAACATAAATCATGAAAGAGAAATTCAATTTTGCAATGTTGAAAAACGCCGCAGCAAATGTTAAGTGTGAGAGAGAGAGAGAGAGACAGAGACTGAAGAGAGCAGCTTAAGCTGATCTGGCAATGCTGCCGCCGCTGTCAGTGTGTGTGTGTGTGTGTGTGTGTGCGGGTGTGTGTGTGTGTGCACTGCGCTCTCTTCTTATTTTGTGTATTCTCTTCTTATTTTTTTTTCGTTCAAATTAAAAGAATTCATTTGCATTTGAATTTAAAAATTAATTATAAAATACAATAAATAATATTCATGTTATGCTGCTTTTTGTTTCTGTTGTTGTTTGCTTTGTTTTGTTTGTTTTTTTTTTAGACTTAAAGTTTACGAAAAAAATTATGTATATATATATATAGTTAGATATAAATAGTTATATCAAATTTGCTTAAATACGAAAAATTACACGAAAAAATAATTGTTATATATTGTTGTTGTTGTATAATAATATTAATATATTTTAAGTTACATAAACATAAAAGTTTCTTTCGCTTCAACTATTCAATTTGCGTTTCATTCACTTTCTTTTTTTTTTTTTTTTAGTTTTTTGTTGTTGTTGTTTTTTACTTAAGGAAATTATAATTGTAATTAAGCTGAGATGCATGTTTTGTTGTTGTTGTTGTTGTTGTTGTTGCTGCTGCTGCTGCATTTTAAAACTATTGCACAATATTAGAATTACATAATTAATTAATTGTCGAAAAATTAAATAAAATACAAATTATAATTAAAGTTCTTTAAGGTCTGACAAATAAATTAAACAAAATCAAGTACATCATTTCCACTTAATGCTTAAAGTTTGTTTGCTTTCAGTTTCTTTTTGCTCTTTAGCTATACGAATACATGTACATATACACATACACATATATGTACACATACATGTACACATACATGTGCATGCACATGTTCATACACATACATAGAACTAGCAAGAATTATTGCAAATTTGGAGCGCAGCCTGCAAAAGGCAAAAGAATCGCACGCAGCAGACGCTCGCTCTCTGCGCTCTCTCACGCGCTGCGCTGCTCGCTCTCTTGCGCTCTTTTGCGTTTTGCGCTCTCGCGCTTCATTTTTCGTTTAAGAAATCGTTACAGTTACATGGGCGCTGGGCAGGGGGAGGGGGGGGGGGGGGGGGGGGGGGGACATAATACATAATATACGTTCAGTTTTTTGTATACATATAAGTATAAAGAAAATAAATCTTTGGATATTTCGATATTACAAAAAAAAAAAAAAAACAGAAGAAAAATATTATATATAGAGAGAAAACTATTAAATAAATTATAATTTCGTTTCGTGTACATGTGTGTGTGTGTGTGAAAAAAATTGAAAATGTTCAAGAATTTTTTGTTGTTTTGTTTTTTTTTTTTGGGTTTTAGGCTGTCGCGTTCAATTTTGCTATGCTTAAATTTTAACTAGATTTTAAATTTAAGTATTTTTATTACTTTCTTGTTTTTGTTTTGTTTTTGTTTTTCTTAAAGGGTGGCAACTTCGTGACGACATGTTGTTGCTTTTAGGATTTGCTGCTTCTTCCAACTGCTAATTGAGAGTAAACTCTTTGCTATATGTTAGTTAATGGTATATTTAATTAGAATATAATATATATATATATACGTATATATATATAAATTTGCTTTATTTCGTATTGTATATTGAAAATATTTTATTAATATTTTGTGTTTTTTTTTTTTTTTTGTTTATTTGCATTTGTTTGCCTTTTGCCTACATTTTCGACTTGTGTTTTTTTTTTGTATATTTTTTTTTTTTGTTTTTCGCGTCTGCCTCTTCTACATTATGTTCTCCTTGCTCTTCTTCTGCTAGCTTAGTTTGCTGACTAGATTTCTTGTTGCAAATTTTGTTCAAACAAAAAAAATTGTTTTCGTTTAACCTATAATTATGAAAAAAAAAAAAAACAAAAAAAAAATTAAATAAAATAAAAAATAATTATTAATATTGTTTATACATAAGCTTTTCTTGCCCTCTGTTTTTTTTGTTTTTCGTTTAACATTTTCATAATTATTCTTTTGCTTTTTGCTAAGGATCTTGTTCTTTAAGGTTCTTCTTTGTCTGCGTGTGTGTGTAGGTGTGTGTGTGTGTGTGTTTTGAACTTAAAACAGTTGACATAAATGAATTGTTACTAAACATATTGTAGCTACTATAAAGATCAAAATCATTATCGAAATGAATAGACATAGATAAGTTTTGGTTTTTCGTACATAATAATGAAAGCAGAAACATGTTTTTTAAGTCTCTCTTTTGTTTTAAATATACATTAAATAAATATGCATGGCTCTAATAAACTACGAGCGCACTTTATGTTATTGTTGTTGCTGTTGTTGTTGTTGTTGTTGTTAAGGAAACAAAGAAATCATACAAAACGCATAGAGGAGTTGTTTATACCAAAATCGAATTGAAACATAAACTTTTGCAATATCTAAAATTGTAATTCGCAAAATCAAGCCAAACATAATTATTAAATTGTAACTCAGATAAAACGCAAAACGAAATTTCACAAATTCAATTGTGGAGCGGGTTGGAGAGAAAGAGGATATATTATAATTGTTGTTGTTGTTCGGGAGAACAGCCATTAAGCATGGGTTATAATTGCTAATTATTGATGTGGTCTATATAATAATACCCAATACTCTCGCGGCCACTGTAAATGCTGTGCTGTACGGTGCTATATGTATATACACTACTGTACGGTACGTTGCGGCACTGTACTCAATGGCTGGCACGCTACTGTATGCGTTACACTTTCGCCTGGTATGCCTAACGGCCTGGCATGCCGCTGTATACAGTGCTGTGCCATATTATTGTGTACAGTGCGTGTTTCTCGCTTGTTTCTAAGACAGCGGACAAAAACCATCGACTTGAATGGTTTGTTTTTACATTTACTGCGTGTTTCTTAATTTCTTTTTTTTTTTTTTTTTTTAAATTTTTAACAAAAAGTTCACTTACATGGCTAGAAAAACGCTTTGCTAATGATTAGTTTTTTGTTTTGTTTTTGTTTTTTTTTTTTTTGTGGTTTTGTCATTTGTTGTTGTTAAACTTTTTGCCATATAAAAAATGTTGTTCTTCTTGTTTAGTACTGAGTTTTTAGTTTGTTTGGTTTTTTGTGCTACGCTTGCTTCCTCTTCGTCTTCTTCTTCTTCTTCTTTTATATGTTAAACGCTAAAAATATTAGCAATTGGTTACTTGCTGGCCTGAACTATACATTATATAAAGTATATAAGGTATATATGCGTGTATATATAGACATACATATATAGATATAGATATATATCTATATATATATATATATCTATGTATATATGCATATATGCGTATGTATAAATATTATAGTATAAGATTCACTAACAATTATTTACTTTAGTAAAACGTTTCAAATTTGCGCATAAATTATTGTATTACTTTTGCGTTTTCTTTTGCATTCTAACTTCATTCTAACCTTACTTTCTGCACGTTTTTTTTTTTTTTTTTTTTTGCTGTTGCACACTTGTCCCGAAATTTCTAGCTGCGTGTGTTTCTGTGTGTGTGTGACAGAGATAGAGAGATAGAGATAGACAGAGAGAGAGAGAGAGAGAGAGAGTCGGTCGTTAATTTTGTTGCTTTCGCTTGGCTTTCGTTAAGTTAAAGTTATAAAAAACAAACACAAAACATTAAAATCTATATATACCACACACACACACACACACACACATACACATATGTATGTGTTTATGTGTGTGTAGATAGTGTATATATAATTCGTTTCGTTTTCTTATTGTTTTTGTTTTTGTTTTTGTTAATACTGTAGCAGCCTCCTTGTGTCTATGCTTAATATGTTTTTTGTTTTTTGTTTTTAAATACTTTTTGTCAGCCTGTTTGGGAAAACAGACACAAAAAAAACGAACGCTCTCGACTCTACACTGCGAGAAAAGTTGCGGGTATTTGTTTTTTCCTTTTTTTTTTCACACATTTGCATTTTTGTTATATTTTTTTTTTTTTGCTTTTTTTTTGTAGAAAAATTGGAGTGTAATTAACAGCTTTTGGTTTGTTGTTGTTGTTGTTTTTTTTTTTTTGTGTGTGTTTTGTTTCGCATTTTGTTACTGGAAGATTTCATTGCTGCTTACTTAGTTATAATTTTAAAAATTGTTTATCTCCTTTTGCTAGGTTAATTTCTTTTAATTAAATCTTAGTTTGTTTTTTTTTTTTTTTTTTTTTTTGGAGGGGGGGGGGGGAGTTTTGTGATTTTTCTCTTAGTTGTTTTGTTGATTTCTTTGTTTGCTTTTGCGGCTAATTCGACTGCGGCTCGTCCCTGCTCGGGCATTAAAAAAAAGGCCGTCAGTTGCTTATTTCTTCTTCTTCTACTATTTGTTTAAATATTGCATTCGACACGTACGTTTTTTCATTTTTTTTTTGTTTTGTTTTTTTTTTTGTTTTTTTTTTTTTTTTTTTAAATTTTAGTTTAGTTAAGTTTAGCTTTCTTTCGAGTTTTACTTAAATGCTAAACAAGAATTTTGCTATTGCAACGGCCGGCATTTTGGGCCGTCGTTTCGTTGTTTAGACGCGATTTGAAGCCAGACGACACGCCCCGCAAAGGGGCGTGCCTGCATGTCTTTGTGTACTGTGTGTAGGTGTGGGTGTGTGTGAGGGTGTGTGTAGGTGTGTGTGTGTGTGTTAAACACAGGCATTGTTGTTGCGCTTAGTTATTGTTAGACCATGCATATTTATATATGTATAAGTGACGTGTCTGTGTGTGTGTGTGTGTGTGTGTGTGTGTGTGTGAGTGTGTGTGTGTATAAACTAGATAAGTATGCGTGTGTTTGTGTGTAGTTGCACTCCAGCTGGCTGCTCCTTGGCTCCCTGGTTAGCGTCCCGTTTTGGCCCCGGCTTAGAGAGAGGCACACACACACACACACTTTACTTGGCCTTGTTGGTCTTGAAGCTGACCTGCAGCACACGATTGCCCATGGTGTAGCCATTGAGGGCCCGTATGGCCATGGCGGCCTCATCGTAGTTGGTCATGGAAACGAAACCGTAGCCTTTGCACTGATTCGTTGTGGGATCCTTAACGATCTTAACGGATTGCACAGCACCGAACGGACCGAACAGCTGCCAGAGCGCCGCCTCTTCCGTTTCGGGCGCCAAATTGTAGATGAATATGGGATATGCGCCGCCGGGTCCGCTTGCGAGCGTTGTCGCTGCCGCCGCTGCGGCGCCCAGGCCATTCGGCAGCATCACGTCCAGCATATCGCCGGCCATCGGTGAGAAGCGTGCCAGGCCCTTGTTGACGGGCGTATGCATTGCGCCGCCAATTCGCCGCACTAGCTGCGGATTGAGGAATGCGGGCAGTTGCGGCTGGATGATCTTGCTGGTGCTGCCGGGCGTGTTCGAGAACTTTACCACAATCGGATCGGTGCAGCTGCTGGGCGTGGTGCCGTTCAAGGCAATAATCGCACGGGTCGCCTCCTCTCGCTTATCGAAGCGTATAAAGCCAACGCCCTTGGTCTGCGTATCGTTGCCGGCATTTTGTAGGATGCGCGACGTTATGATGGCACCGAATGGCGCAAATATGGCCTCCAGCTCCTGCTGGGTCATCGTTTTGGGCAGGCCCGACACATACAGATTGGCGCCCTTGATCGCATCCGATGAGGGACGCGCGAACGACACCTTAATCGTTTTATTCTGCAGCCGCAGTCCATTGAGGACATTCACCGCCTGTTCCGCATCCTGCGGACGCACATAGTTGACAAACCCATAGCCCAGACTCTGGCCCTTGCTGGGCGCCTGCGGATTCAGCGGATCTATGTACACCTGCGATTTGTCGCGTATCAGCTTGACCGACTCGATTTCGCCAACGCTGCTAAAGAGCGAACGTATCTCGTCCTCCGTCATGGTCTGTGGCAAATAGTTGACAATCAGATTTGTGCGCGTCTCTGTGCTGCCATTGCTGCCGTTCTGTGCGCCGCCTGAGTTGCCGTTCGTGTTGGCCTGTTGCACCTGCTGCTGGACGACCTGCTGCTGCTGCTGCTGCACGACCTGCTGCTGCTGCTGCTGTTGCTGCTGTTGTTGCTGTTGCTGCTGCTGCTGCTGCTGTACGGCAACAACTGCCTGCTGTACTTGCTGCACTTGCTGCTGCTGCACGACCTGCTGCTGCTGCTGCTGCTGTTGTTGCTGTTGCTGCTGCTGTTGCACGACGGCCTGCTGGACAACGGCCTGCTGCTGCTGCTGCAGTTGCTGCGTAACGGCCGCGGCCGCTGCGGCGACCGCTTGCTGTGTCTGCTGCTGCTGCACTTGCAGTATCGCCTGCTGCACCTGCTGCTGCTGTTGCTGCAGTTGGGCGGCGGCGGCAACGGCCGCTGCATTCTGCACGGGCGCAGCCGCATTTGTTGCGGCAACAGCAGCCGCCGCGGCAGCGCTCTGCATTAGCTGCGCCTGTGTATCCACGCCGGTGGCGCCCGTGTTAGCCATCATAAAGTCCACTAAAATTGGCGCCAATTGCAATTTGATTGTTTGTTGTTGTTGTTGTTGTTGTCGGAGGAGGAGGAGGAGGAGACCAACACAAACGCAGCACATGGAATATGAAAAGGATTAAATGTCAAGATTAAACCATTTGCCAAGTGTGTTAGTATTTAGTTAGTTAGTTTCAATTAAATACAACTAGCTCCGCATTCACACTTAAACCCTCTCCCCTCTCTATGCCCTAAAAGCGGGCATATCCGCTACTCCGTCTGTGTGGACACACCCTCAAAAAAGCCACAGAGTTATGTATATAAATATCTCGTATACCCTGCACAGAACGAGTTTATCGTTACCCTACACCCAATTTTGTTGTTGTTAATCATTTATCATTTCTTGTCGATATTTGCACTCACTTGCAACATATCGATAAATATCGATTATTAGCTTGAAGATTTTTAGAGTTAGATGCGCCTAAATTGGTTTGCAGGTTCTTATATGGTATATGCTGATTGAGAACATTTCTAATTTTGGTTATCTCCCATCATTTAACAACTTTGATATACTCATAGAGTTTGAGAGTCAGATTTAAGCCGACAAAGTTTCATAAGAATCGGACTGTAAGCACCGACCCTCGGATAAGAAGAAGCACTGCATACATGCACATGGTCCAGAAGCTTCAAATGCTTTTAATGGCAACTCAAGGCCGTGTTTAGGGTATCTGCTAGTCGCCCGCTTTTCCACACTCTGTTGCAGCTTTCTCCTGATCAAAAACACTCTCAGAAATTGATATCCTTTTCATTTTCTAAGAAACTTCAATAAGTATTCCAATTTCAATTAGAATACTTTATTAAAAACTTATCACTCAAGACTTAACTAAGTAAAAAAAAAACTTGTAAGAAATTCGACACAAATTTGCTTGACTCCATTTCTTAAGGTTTGCCACAAAACTAATCCGAAAATTGAATCACTCGAATCACTCGGCTAATTGTTAGAATTATACGCAAATCTGCAAGGGTATTAAATCTTCGGCGAGCCAAAGATCTTGTTATTCATTTACATTAAGTACCGCTAAGTTTAGTTAACGCTGAGAGATTAGCTGAGGATTTGCACAGTGGCGCCGCCCTGCGGACCACTTCTGCGGCAAACTTTCGTTCAGACTTACTTTTGCCTTAGCAGGCACACACACACACACACACACACATACGCAAAGAGAGTGAGAGAGACTGGGCAGGAACGAGAGCGGGCGAATGAGAGAGTGATTTTAATCTCAGGCACAGACCCAAAATGCACATGAAACACACAGTTACTCGCATAGACACAGACACATAAAGAGGCTCATAGACACACTAACACACCTCTAGAGCTGAGCGTGGGAGGGGGCCAGAGAGCGTTTGTGTTTGTGTTGGAGAGTTTTTTTTTTTTTGCGCTGAGCTTTTTTGGAATTGTCGTTGCCTTTGCCGCTGCGAGACCCGCTACGTCGCAAGCACGCGATGCTACTGAGCGCAGGTCCTTGCAAGGCTTTCGTGCCATGCTGGCGTTAGCGTCTCTCGTCCTGTAACCGCTCCTGTTCCGGCTGTCGTTAACATTGCTGCTGCCGCTGTTGTTGTTGGAAGTTGTAACAAAGCACCTACCCGGCCAAACCCAGTTATGTAATACATATATATACAGGCACACATACATACACAGACACGCACAGCGGCAGGCAACGAACTCTACACGCAGCAGCAGCAGCAGCAGCAGCAGGGCATACTCCTTATGAAAAAAGGCCGTAAGGCAACAAAAAGAAGTTGAAAACTAAAAATGAGCATCCGCCGTGAAGCGTGCGCCCGTCCAAAATCGAGCTAACCCACCCGCCCCGTGTATATATATATATATATATGTGTGTGTATGTGTGTGTGTGTGTGTTTGCAACAGCAAAACGTAGCAACCCTTAAAACCAAAAACAAGTTATAATATTGCTTTTGCAAAAATTACTAACACACACACACACACACACATACAAACGCAGTGCATACAACAATACGTAAGCTGGGCTCGCCTGAGGGTTAAATACAGCCGCGGCAAGAACAATGCCACCCCCTTTGTCTTAACAAACAAATCGGCATGTGCGTTTTGTCGTTTTCAACAGTCTGGCAACGCTGCGGCAACGGCTGCTGCATGATCTGTGAACTTGCACTTTGGGTGGTTGCTGTTGGCAGCGTCTCTCGCGCGACACACACAAGTCAAAAGGTCAAACACACACACACACACACACACACACACGCTAACATAGGCCGATACATATTTGCACGCCCACATGCCAAAAAGCAGAGCGCATAGTCTCTCTTCTAAATTTCCATGACAACTGAGATTTCAAAATGTCTGGAATGACCGACCGCTCATCCTTATCCTTTCCAAGCACGCACACACACACACACACACACACACACACAAACGCTCGCTCGCTCACTTACACACACACACACACAGATACCGTATACAGTTATATATGCATTTGTTGAAATACTCACTTGTTTCGATTAAAATGTTGCTATTTTGTGTGTTGCCAAACAAATTTGATTTGATTTCTTGACACGCGCGCGCGCTCTACACGGCGCTGATTCTTTTGATTTCCTCCTTCTCAACTCCCGCTGCTCACCTTGATTAGTTAGCAGTCTGCCGGACAACGGGTTACCCTCACTATGTCCAGGATATGTCCTTTATTTGCGTTACGTTTTTATTGTTGGCTATAATTGCGGCTATTTTTGTTGCTAATAATTAAACAAACGCTGCTGTTGTATCGTCGTCGTTGTCGTTGTCGTCGTCTATTGTTGTATGGAAAAAAGAGTATAGATAAGAACAAAAACAAAAAACAAAAAAAAAAGCGGTAAATTTAACTGCACACGTCGTTGGTGTTATCGTATTTATCGATTTTATCGATTTTTCCCAAAAACCCAACTAGCAGCACTTACAACAACAACAACAACAAAAGCGACAACAACAACAACAACAGCAGCGAAAAAGGCATAGATTTTTACCGAATTCTGCGCACATGCACGCACACGCACACACACACACACGCACACACATGTATGTGTGTATGTATTTGCGCACACATGCATATAAATTCATATTTTACTATTTAAAACAAATCAACGCAAACGTTTTGTTACACAATTTCGGACTATGTGTATTTGTTGCGGTTGTTTTTGTTGTTGTTGTTGTTGTAATTTTGCGTTTGTTTTCTTTTTGTTTTGCTGCTGCTGTTGTTGTTGTTGTTGTTTTTGTTTTCAATACTGATGATTATAACAGTATCTCTCAGTTTCTGCTGCGCCTCTGCCACTGTGCTAATTTATTGCGAGCGCCATTGGGAAGAGAGCGGAGCGAGCACCCACCGCCTTCGCTCTTGCTCCCTTTGGCCATACAATGTATGGCAGTTCCCTGCATTGTTGTTGTTGTTTTTCTTTCTTTCATTTTTTTTTTAAATTTTGTTGTTGTTTATATGTATATATTTTAACTAGCGCGCATATTTTACCACCCATACATATGAATATGCATACATGTTTGCAAACACACACACACATGTACACACACACACCCGCTCACACACCGACGCACTTAGTATCTATAAGTTTTTTGTTGTTGCTAGACGACGCGCTTATTAAATTAAAACACGCGCTGCTTTTGTTTTTGTTGTTCTTGCTTCATTTAAAAACAAAAAATAAAACAAAAAATATAGATTTATTCACTGCTGTAGCGTTTGTTATTACTGTTTGCCGTTGAATTGTTCTAATTTGTATTTCCGCGCAATTCTCTCCGTATTCCCCGAACTACATTTTGTTTAGCTGTGAGTGTTGCTGTGGCAACAAAACACTACATACATTGTGCCACAGCTAATACTACTACTACTACTATTACAACTTTGGCATAAACAGAACATAAACTATAGCTAACGTTTTGTTTGCAGTTTACTTATTTTTTTTTATGGCAACCGGCGTTTTGTTTACTATTTTTAGCAAACGTTCTCAGACACTACAGTTAAATCAAAAGCGAGCTCTTACGATAAGAGTCTACTACTATTTGCCGCTGGTGTTGTAGTTGTAGCCGTCGGTTGTCGGCGTACAATGCTCCTTCCACATAAAATCGATATGCTAGCTGCGCCCTTTTTGCCACTCACACAGCTACACAGACAGACAGCAGCAGTGTACACACACACACACATAGCGCCCGTTTTACAGATACACAGCACAGAAAGACAGAGTGAGAGAGACCGAGCACGCTGCGGCAGCAGTGCGGCATTTAGCAGTAGATTTTAACGCACAACAACTATAACTACTACGACAGTTACTACTACAACGGCTTCTACTACTACTACTACTTTTTGTCTAGTTGCCCAGCACCGCCTTCCAGCCCTCTTGGAACCGATCGTTTGACTCTTTGCCTCTCTTTTGAGTTTGTTGAACTGTTTGGCGCTGCCGTTTGTAGTCTTTGCGTCTTGTCTACGTTTTTCCATACCCATTGCATATTGTAATTTTGCGTTTTAGCATACATGTATCAAATTGTTCCACAGACACACACACACACACATACACACACTTAAAAGCAACAACAAAAAATACACAAGCATGTATATGTATGCATGTGTATAATTGCACAATTATGCACCGCGTAGCGATCGTTTGGCAATTTTCGTAGCATTTTTTTTATATGTAGCGTTTTGTTGTTGTCGTTGTTATACGTTACGCTTACGTTTTGTTGCGGCTGCTACTGTTGTTGTTTTTGATGATATTGTTGGTGGTTTTTTTTGTTGTTGTTGTTGTTGTTCTTGCACTTTACGTAGTTTTCTATGGCAATGCGTATATTTGATTTTAACAATTGTAAACTTTTGTCGTCGGTGTTTTCATTACTTTTTTTTCAAAAAAAAAATAAAAAAATCAATTGCAAAATGAGCTGAGCACACGAGCTGAGGCAGCGCACACGAGCGTTCAAACGTACTGCGGCGTACAACGTCTAGCGTGGAAATGAAAATGACGCGAATGCGAACGCAAACACAAACCTTGCTACCCTCAACAAGAATATATGTACATATATACACACGCATACGTTACGTATGTGCATGTGTTGATTTCTATGAAATGAGCAAGAGAGAGAGCGAGAGCCACCAAAATACGTGAGCGAGAGCAAGCGAGTGGAAGCACATTCGTTTTGTTGACCAGCCGTTGTTGTTGTTGCTGCTGCTGCTGCTGCTGCTGTTTTTCCTGCTTTTGTTTTCGTATGCTCAATGCGAGTTTTCTCTCTGAATGCACTCTCTCTCTTTCTCTCTCTCCCTCTCTCTCTGTCAGGTAATCGGCTCCTGCCTCTGTGGCAAATCGACTCTGACTTCGTTAAACCGGGTGGGTGATCTGCTATAGAGAATCTCCTTTTAATACAAATAACTAAGGCCGCACGTTGTTTAATCACAAAATGTAACAAAATATACATATATGTGTACATTTTAAATTTGAGAGCCATTTACTAGCTACATATGTATGTAGATAATTAAAGACACATATTTGTGAATATATAAAATTCAAAATGGCTGCTGTTCGTATTCATGGAGCTGTCATTCCAGCAGCCTGGAATTATGTGTGCCCATGCCAGCAAGCATGTCTGTCATACAGCTCGATCAAACAAACGCCCACAAGCAGTATGAAAAAAAAAAGTGTTGCCAGAATGTTGCAAACGTGATCGTTGAGTGAATGGCGGAATTGCGCTTAACTTTTAATTTGAAAATAAAATGTAAAACACATAGAATATGAATTTTGGAAATTCACAGTTTGTACTTTATAGATATGAGGTCGTCAACCGTTTTATGATGCTGTTTCTATGCTGGCAACCGCTCTCTTTTCACTCTCTTCGCATGCATATTATCCTTGCCAGGCGCGAGGGCTGCTTGGCGTGTTTGTGTGTGTGTGTGTGTGTGTGTGTGTTTTGCACTGCAACCACCAACGCCAGGGTTGTTTTCAGTACAGCGTACACCCCCTACAGCCAGCCCAACTTGAAGCCAAGCGCCTGTCTAGCGAGTGTTTCGGACTTGGGCAGGGTTTGTGTCATGCGTGCGTGCGTGCGTGCGTGCGTGTGCTTAATTGCGCTTGTATTCATCATACATACGTATGTATGTGCGTCTGTGTGCATGTACGCTTCCTGTTCTGTGCTGCCCACCGGTTTCCATGTGCTGATTTTTATGGCACAACATTACAAATGTGCCGCCGCGTGTCTGTTCCAATTTACACGCAGTGAACACATTGTTATTGTTGTTTTTGTTGTTGCTACTCGCAAAAACATAAAAATGTAACTCAACTTTTTGCGCTGGGGTGGTTTTTGGGTTCTTTGTATTTTTTTTTTTTTTTTTGGTTTTTTTTTTTTGAAAAGAGAGAGATTTGGGTTGCCAGACGGTCAGCCGTTGCCGAAGGGGGTGGCCAGACGAGACAGATCGGCGGCGCGCAAGTGTTTGCCCGTTGCCATATCCTGTGCAAGATAAGCATAATTTATGCACACTTTTGTATTTGTGTATATATGTATGTATGTCTGCGTATGCGTTTGTGTATATGTGTACGTACGTATGTATGTCGTGCGCTACCAATGCGGCAGGCTCTGCCGGGCTGGCCAAAGTGTGAGCTGGCATTGATAAATGCATGTTTCCGCACATGCACACATACATATATGCATATACACATATGCATGCATGTATATTCTATACAGTGAAAGCTCTACTAACGCACTTCTATGTTGCGCAATTGATAATTTCTTCAGGTAGACAACTGGAACCGTGGTGCTTTCACTGTAATGCATAGAAACATATGTATTTATCTATTTATGTGCATGGCGATAAGTATTTGTGATAATAATTAAGTTGCGCCAACTTTTGTATTTTGCTGACGCATGCTGCTTCACAGTGCGTGCGTGTGTGTGTGTGTGTGTGTGTGTGTGTGTGTGTGTGTGTGGACGCTGTTTGGCCAGGCCACGTGCTTGGAGCTCAAGCTGTTGGGCGCTCTCCCTCACGCGCACTCCCTCTCTCTCTCGCTCTCTCTCTCTCTTACTCTTTGTGTGCCCATCGCAATCACTGCGAGCGCCACGCAGTATGCAACACATTTCCCGCAGTGTTGCCAGATTTTAGCAATTCGAAATGGGCATCGCCATGGGCCTGGGGATAATTAAAAAAAAAGGACGCGTGCAGGGAAATGGGCATGGGCACGGGAGCATGCTTAATCCTTTGGCTCTGCCGCAAACAAAGCGCATTGTGCCAGCACCTTGGCCGCATTACGAAAAAAGCCGGATTAAAATAGCAGCCAAGTTGACAACAACAACAACAACAACAATGTGAAGCAGAAGAAGAAGAAGAAGGCACACTTTTGGGGGTTGCAGCAAAACTGGGCACACTGGGCGCACCCTTAAGCGATTTACATTTGCCAATGTATTTTGAATAAACAAAAACTAGAAAGTGAAAAAAAAAAAAAAAACAATAACATTTACTGCTGCAGGCGCTGCACCAATGTCTCGTGCAGAAGAAAGTTTAGAAAACAGCCGCAGGATCAGAGTTGTCGGAGCGGTCGGACTGGTCATGATTCAACCCCCTCTTCCCCCCCCCCCCCCCTGCCAAATGCGAGCTGCCTTGAGGCGGCACATTTACATTTACATTTACATTTACAGAAGGGTCCTTCGGGGCGCACTTTCAACTTTGCACGTCTCGCTGCACAACGATCGACAGATGCACTTTTTCCCGAAACTCATAATAATAATAATCATAAAAATTACCATAAGACACCGAGAGCGAGGCCCCGATCGTTGAGGGTGAGAGTGAGAGTTGTCAGAGGGAGAGCGAGAGAGAGGGAGAGAGGGACGCAGGATACGCCGCTGTGCCATTTTAATTGTGGCATGTGTTTCCGTTGTTCTCCATATTGCCGGCTTTACTCTCCCTCTCCCTCCCTCTCTCTCTCTCTCTCTCTCTCTCTCTCTCTGTCTGTCTGTTGCCTTTGGCACAGTTCAGTGCTCAACGTAGAGTCCTGTCGCTGGGTCACGGCTGTAAGCGGCCACCTGGCCTACTAATCAGCATCCGAGCTGACAATCACATGCATTTGCAGCAGTCGCTGATTGATTGAATAGTTCAGAGCCAGGCATTTTCAGCTTTATATGCATAAGTCGCTCTAACATAACCTCAAAAGCAGCATTCTCACTCACAACTTTGACCTAACCTCAATATGCTCACGCTGCTCGAACATAACCTCCAAATGCAGCACTTATTGAGCTTCGGGCGCTTTACAACTGTTAACTGCGTTCAGTTATCGGCTTGAATGCGACCTAACCTCAAAATGGGCACGCAGCTCCAACATAAACTCCAAACGTTGCGTTTGTTGGGCTTCGCATGCCCCAACTAGATCAGTTTCTGTCTCGCTCTCTCTTATTCTGACTCCTTCTCTTACTCATTCTCACGCTTTTCTATTTTGTGACTCATTTCAGTTTGCCGAAGGATCAATTGGTTTACATTGGCTTGAGGGACATTGACCCCTATGAGGCGTTTATATTGAATAAATTTGGAATACGCTACTATGCCATGGATGTAAGTACACACACACACACACGCACACACACACACACACACACACACTGGCGATCGTTGTGCGTTCTTTTGTGGCTGCTTTTGCGTGGCAGTTGTAAGAATTGTAAAATTCCGGTTTTTGGGCAGCAAAAGGATCAAATGACGATCGTGCGTGACAGCCTCAACAGAATTACAGACACACACACGCACACACCATGTGTGTGTGTGCGTTGTAAATGTAAGCTCGGCATTTCTAGGGGTTGGCCCTGTGGCCCTGGTCGCGTCTCGGGCTGGGAAATCGAATCTAGTTGCACCCTTCTGCAGCCGGCAAAGTTACAGGACACTCCCTAGCTGGCCTCCCCTCGGTCGGGCCTACCCTCTAGCCGGCCTACTCAATGCGACAGCCACCCCAGTCCCCCGATCGTTACATACGGTGTGGCAACTTCCGATCGCAGACGGTGGTTGCAACGTGCTCGGCCACATCCGTTCGCAATGCGGCGTATCCTTGTTGCCAGCCATTATTTATGGCTCGTGCAAAATTCGACGTCTGTTGAAAAATGGTTTAATAGTGCCGAGCTGCAAATTTATTATAGCTCATTAGTTTGGTTCAAATGTGACACCAATTCGTTGGCTGTACCTAGTTTTTCCCTTCCTTCCCCCCTCCGCACGTCTTCTGCTTGTTCTTACTTGCCAATGGCCGCCGATGGGCGCTGCACCAATCGCCGTCGAGCGAAGCTTTCAAGCTTTGAGTGCCGTTAGACGCAAAGCTTTTGCCCAGATTCTTCGCATGACCGGGTATTATAACTATCTGATGAACTTTGTAACACATCGCACATGAAATATTCAACACATTTTCTTTTATAAATTTTAGTTTTTATTATTATTTTGATCTTATATCATCCAAAAGCATCAAGATCAATATTTCAAAAGTTTTCTTAACGATAATCAACATGCATAAATAGTTTTTTATGTGTTTAGCAAAAAACTTATGAATAACATTGAATGGACTTAATAATATTAACAAAACATTCTGCCCAAAACTGTGGTTATATAAATCGAGAGATAACTGTTTTCATATATATATTCTATTTCCATAAGTCCATCGATCGCGTCGGCGTGCCCAAGATCATTGAGATGACGCTGGACGCGCTGAGTCCGCGAAACAAGATTCATGTTAGCTTCGATATCGATGCCCTGGACAGCAATGTGGCGCCCAGCACGGGCACCGCAGTCCGCGGCGGCCTAACCCTCCGTGAGGGCATCAGCATTGTGGAGGCGTTGCGGGACACCAAGCGTGTGCAGGGCATGGATCTGGTCGAGATCAATCCGAAGCTGGGCAGCGAGCGCGATGTCCGCACCACCGTCGACTCCGGCTTGGAGATACTCAAAAGCATGTTCGGCTATCGGCGTTCCGGTGCGCGCTACTACAGCAACCTGGACACGGGCATACTGGGACGTGAACAGTGATCGCAATGTGCATAAATCTAAATGTTTATATATATCTCATATATATATATGTATATGTATATATATATATATGTAACATTTATGTATATTTTGTATGTACAGGTCTTTGCATATTTGCGTGTGTGTGTTGTTTTTTTTTTTTTTTTGGCTTAATATTATTAATTATGTTTAAACAGCAAATGGATAAATTTAATTTATAGCATTATAATAAAAAAGAATTGTGAAATTTATTGAACGGAGATTAGGTTTGGCCTGTTGTGGCCCGAGGCCAGCGCTAGATACCAGACTTGGGCGCCGCCGTTGCCAGATAAGCGGAAATATCCACATTGGCCATCAGATTGGCGGTGCTGAGCAGCTCGTTAACCGGCGCCGTGGGCGCCGCCGTTGCCGGTACACTGGCCACGCTAACTGTGGGCGGCGCACCGGGCAGCCGCTGGTAGAGCTGCGGCGCAAAGATGCGCAGCAGGCGACGCTGTAGGCCCAACAGCAGCGCATTCACAGCACCGGATATAACAATAATGCCCGATATAATCGAACAGAGCCGTATGACAAAGGTTAGCAAATAGTCGCGATCGTGGCTGACAACAATCTTCAAAGCGGACCAATCGTATTTGAAGTAAATGCCCGGTGAGCCGTACGAATTGCGCTCCGAATCTGTAGGACATAGAAAAGTTCTGTTAAGTAAGAGTCAAAGCGCAGCTGCAGCAGCTGGAACTTGCCTAGCTTACGCACGTTCTCGGTGACGGCATATTGGAATGTGCTTATTGTGCTAAACGTATGCTGGATCTCCGTCGGCACCACCTTGAGGAAGTATTGCACCGTGGTCGATTCCTCGTGTATTATGGTCTCATCACCCTCCAGCGGCTGTACAATGCGACGCGAATACTGGCCAAAGCTCAGACGGTTGATGCGATGCGTAAAGTTGGCCGGCATTCGGCGAAACTCAATCATCCAGTGATCCTCGAACATGCCAACTACGGGCTGTGCGCCGCCCACCAAATGGAGAACGCCGGCGACCTTATTAATGCCTAGCGTGCCGTGCAGCCGACATGCATCGTATTTGGACTCCAGCTGTGCCAATTGTTGTGGCTGCTGCAGTGCACCCGGCGGCGGCGGTGCAGCAGCAGCAGCTGCAGCAGTCGCAGCATGCGTTTCGCTCTCCTTTGTGGGTGTTCGTTCGCGCAGTATATCCTTGAAGAGTATGTCCGCCACAGAATGATATTCTTCGCGCAGATAGTGATTGGTCATCTGCATGGACTTAAAGTGACGGCGATCCGCATCCGACATTTGCCACCAGACGCCCTCGCGTTGCAGTGTGCCATACGCAAAAACATCCTGCTGCGTCTCATCCATCAGATCAACGCCGGACAGCGAGGCGCAGGGCATGGCCACCGTTATATCCAGATGCATCTGCACCTGCTCATCCAGCGCCATGTCCGGCTCAAATTGATAAATGATTTCCGTCTCGTTCCAATAATAACGCAGCTCCGTATAAACAAGATACACGATCAGCAGCCGGCTCAGCAGCGAGACTATGTAGGAAATGCGATTAGGTTAACATTGACAGAGAAAGAGAGAGAGGGAGGGAGATAACTGCAAAAAATGGATGCTCACGTGTGCCGCCGATCTCCGTGGTCTCCGTATACTTCTCAGGCACCTTTTTGAAGGCATCGAGATTCTTGGCAAACTCCAGCAAATTGCTTTTGTCGCCGCGGTAACGTAACGTGGCAGTCATTGCTCCCAGTGGCAATTAAATTCGATACAGTGCAGTTTATAATTAGTGTAAATTAGCTAAGAATTATTAATTGTTGCCCATTAACGGCGACATCATCGTCATTGCCACGTACTCCCACGTTGCTGGCGGACCTGCCCCCTAGCCAGTCCCCTTGCGTGCAGCGTACGTTTTCACTTCGTTTCAATTAAAGCTAATGCGCAATTGGCAACAGCTACTAATTTGATTGCAATCGTTAATAAATAAATGCACTTTACGGCTAAATATTAATATGTGTGGCAAAGTTAATACCGTTGCCGGCTAGATTGTTGATATTCTAGCGATATATCGATAGACGATGTTTCATTTTTTCTCGATGTGTTATCGTTGTGCATATGGCAGCTGCTGGCGTTGCCAACTATTCTTGGGGAAAATAAAAATTATGGTATATGTGGCATGTAATTTAGTTGTCTTAAAAACGTTTTTATTCAATTATTTGCAACTAAATTTAACTAGAATGAATCAAGATTGCACTCTTCTTTGTTCTTCATAATTAAACTACGAAAAATCCAATTTTCCTTACTTCACAAATAATAATAAATAATTGTCGAATTCAAACTGGAAGCTATGTTTTTTCCAACAAGATATGAGAAATAAATGAATATAAATGAATGAATTAAAAAGTTATCTTTGAAAGATATTTATAAAAATACGATTTGTTTTTGCAAGTAGACAAGTGCTTTACATTAAATATGAAAATTTGTGTTAATAATAATTGTTTTAATACAAACTAAATTTCAAATTGTTTAACACAAGTGAACGTTATGAATATATCGATAACACGGTTCCCTTGACCTGCGCACCTTTGGCGCCATGCCGCAAACAGTTGGCAACGCCAACAGCAAATGTATAGTATCGAATCGATAAATTGAATAACACTGTTGATCAGCCAGTTTCAAGTTGAGAGTTTCGCAGCATTTGCAAACCAAGCTTGACGGTCGTGGTGCTCGTTTCGCAAAACAATTTGTGCATAAACAAAAGCATAAAGCAGCAGCAGCAGCAACAACAACAACAACAACCGCAACTGGGCGAGCAAAACAAGTTTTGGTAATTAGCATGCACATATATTGAATTTTATCGTTAACGTTGAGAAATTTTTGAGCGCATGATTTGCTGTCGCCAACTAAATAAATAACTAATTTGAACAATTTATATGCTACTCTCGTTGCCAGCTTCGCCGCCAGCCAAACACCGACTATATACTATATAGTATATGTACTATATATAGAAAATCGTTAAACTGCGACTGTGTGACGATGGCTTTTGGTGCAAAGTGCGCAATTGCTGCCGTCACCGTATTTGCGCTTCTGCTGACGCATGATGGGTTTGTGGATGCCCGCCGTAATCAAGGCAGCAACCAGCGCAAAAGCTCATCCAGCAGCAACTCGGGCCATGTGACTCAGCCCAGCTACAACACCAACAACAATGGAGGCAGCAACTCCCACGCGGATGTGGCCAAATTGAGCTATCCCAATTACAACTCGCAACCGAATCGTCCGGCCAATAATCCGGCCGGTAATCCGGCCAATAGCCCGCCCGCCGCTGGCTGGAATGTACCGCAGGGCCCACCGCCCGCCTACTCCGCCTCAAATCCGGCTGGTGGCAGTCATACCAACATGCATGAGCCTCCACCGGCCTATCATGCACCCAACTATGGCGCCGCACCCGGCGCAAATGTACACCAGCCGATAACAGCCACCCAGAATCATGGACAACAATATGCTGGCGCTCAACCCGCTGGCGCTTATAATCCAGCTGGCAATTATATGCCTGGAGGCGGCTATCAACCGGGTGGCAGCTATTATCCAGGACAGGGCGGCTATCATCCGGCTGCAGCACCGCCACCAGGCGCCACATACTATCAGGCCGGCTCAGCTCTACCGCCGGGCGCCACCTACTACGCCCAGCCGCCGCAACAATCTTCCTCCGGCCTGGGCTTCGGTGAGCCAATTGAATATATCTATTGTTTGTTTGTACAGCAAGTAATGCCAAATATTTCATCTAGGCACCGGACTGATCGCAGGTGGCCTTGGCGGCGCTTTACTTGGTCATGCGCTGACACCCTCGGGCGGCTCCTCGCAGCCAGCGGCTGCTGCACCAGCTGCAGCTGGTGGACAGGATCGCATCATTATTATCAACAATGGTGTGCCGGTGAATGCCAGCGATGGCACCACTATCATCAATGCAGCTCCAGTCAATGGCACCCAAATGGCTGCCGATGCTGCGCCCGCACAGCTGGCACCATTTTCGCCCGAAGGCGTCAACATGACCATGGCCAATGGCACCGATGCGTCTGGAGCAGCAGCAGCAGCACCAGCTGCACCGGGCAATATTATATGCGTTCCGCATAAGGTCAACGAAACGGATCCGGCCGACAGCAGCAAAATGATTGAAGTGGAGAAAATTGCTTGTTATCCGGCTCCACCGCCGCCAGCTGCCGCACCCGGCGCTGAGCCCGTACCATTGGCACCTATGGCACCGCCCATGGCCACCAGCCAGGCGCCACCAGCCATGCTGGCACCAGACCAGGCAGCCGTGCGCTCCAATACCAGCGCTGGCAATCAGCTGCAGGCCGCCTGGCCCCTGCTGGCCGCCCTCTTGGGTGGTCTGCTGTTGCGCTTTGTGGCTGCCGCCGGCAACTAGAAACGTCGCGAATGTTTCCAATTATTGCTTTGCACCATTTACTCGCGCCATGCCACACAGCAAAAATAATCAAAGCCCAAGCAACGCCCCCAACAAGCTCGCACTGCAGCGTATTTTTGTATTATTCATTTTTTCCTATTTGAAAATTATGCATTGTTAACTAGTATTTGTCCGTAGAGTATTCCTAAATTGTTATTTCTAATTTGTAGATAACTTTGCCTCAAGTGTGCTCTCGATTATGATGAGGCAGCTACTAATCCCGTCATAGCTGGGATATATCAAAACTGTGAATCTCGTAAAAATGTTAAATGTAATTGCTTCTAGTATAGAAAAGCCGCGAACATTCGAATGTAGACCCTTTTAAAGGGAACTAATGCACCTTCCCCCCCTCCGCTCGAGCACTTTTTAAAAGACATCTCTCAGTGTATAACGTATATAAAGATGCATAGCAATTGTTGCCTAAGTATTATAAAGATGCTTCAAATCAGTTGCAATATATATTTGTAGGCGCTTTTTGCATTTGCCTCTTGTTTGTTGATTATTGTCTCGTTTTGTTTAAATAATTGTTTGTTTTCTATTTCTTTTTTTTCATTTTTATTTTTCTTTTTGTCAATTGATTCAATAAAAGCTTTAACATCACGCCGCACTTCAAGCTCCTTGGCTGGTCTTTTTCTGCCGTAGCAGCAACGACAATGATTCATCAATTATCGGGCCTAGCCGATCCAGCAAGATCTCTCCTACTCTGCACCCAGCAAAACTTTCACTTGATTAGCAAAAGCTGCCGCTTGCCAAGGCCCAACTGAGTTAGGGCCCTCTTTCATGCTGTGGCAGCTATTTGGATCAACAGCAGGCACAAAGCGATATTTAACCAATTAATTGGCCAGCGTCGGGGTTTTTCCCCCAGCTGCGAGCCGAGCTTCCGAGAATCTGTGCATTGCAATCAACTGGCACAAAAATACATATTAATAATAGCGTAGTTATCTAATCACGAGCCAAGCGCAAGTGCAATTGCTCAAATTGTGCTCAACATAGGCATGGGATATGGTTATAAGCTATAAATCTGGATCCCCCGAGCCGAACTAGCTGCCCATCTGACTGTCCGGCTAGCTAGAGATATTCAATTCGAAATATAGTATATACTCTGTTATGGCCTTTTTGAATAACTCCCAATTTCGCTTGGTTCAGAGCATCTCGTAGTCGGCCAGTCTCGACTGGCACACTTTGGCTCTCGGCCAGGACAATGCCACATCCGTACACTAGGCAAGGATGTGCAACCGGATACTCGTTGAAAACTTATATTTTTAGAAGACTGAAAATGCCATCTCAAAGCCAAAATGGGCTACTCCTGGACAGAGATTGAGATTCAGTAAATCCATATAATCCTCTTCGTTAGACTAGAACTAATTTGAAGAGAAATCAGAGAGAGAGAGAAAGTTCAAAACCTGGTTGGGACAACATTTCTGCCTCCAAGTGGGATTCTTTCTCAGCAGTTAGCGATAAATATGAATGTATAAAGGAAGAGGATTTACAAGTGGAGTTTACAAAATGGTTGTTTTCTGGCAAAGCCCCCGTCGAATATAGGAAAAATCGTTTTTCGTTAAAGTTTATACAACTTTATTATTATTTTTTCTTTAAAGGTAAACCATGTGTTTGTCTTCGTTTAAAAAAACAGAGCTTGTACAAAATTTGATGGTTTTATCATTTAGTTTTGATAGATCTTTACTCCGCGTCATCATCCTCGTCATCGTTGGAGCTAATTCTGAAGTAGCGCAGCTCGTACGAGTCCTTCTCGTTGGCAACCACACGGATCCAATCGCGCAGGCTGTTCTTCTTCAGGTACTTCTTGGTCAAGTACTTGAGGTAGGCCTTCGAGAAGTGCACATCGGAGCTGACATGGAGCTTCATCTTGGAGCGCTCAAAGGTGACATTGTTGCCCAGATTGTTCACCTTGCCGTTGACCTTAAGGCGAGCCTTCACGTATTTCTCCTGCGAAGCCAAAAGACATTTCATCAATTAGAAGAGTACGTCAATGCAGCATGTATATATATAGATATATATATATATATATATCTATGCACAGTGTAGTGCTGTCTCTGTCTTTGTTAAGGCCAAAAGTCAAATGGAATTGTGAACAAAAGGCCCAAATAAAGAAGAGTGACCAATTTTTTAATATGCCACTGAGTACACTGCCATCAGAGCGACACGGCCAAAAGGCCTTCACTCTCTGACGGCAAATCGGCGTGGCTATAATAACAATATATAAACATAAATATTTAGATGGATGCGTGTATGGCTTACAGCTGTAGTATTACCTGTTCCGTAGTAGCGGCGCGTCGACAACAACATTGCGAACTGGGTTATTGAGGGGTAAGTAGTTTTGGGGCTGGCGCCCTGCTATATTAGCATAGACAACAAAAGGTTTCCCCTTCGAATTGGCTTGTAAGTTTTTGTTTGTTTGCTTCGTGGAGAAACCTGCAGCGTGACAGAGTAAGAATTGTACACGCCTGTAGCAGGGCGCACTATGAATTTTGGCTCGACGCGACACGGATGTGACACGTACAACCCAGGGCCCACCACGTGGCGGTACACATAGCACGACTTGACGCTGTTCACAGACGGTTGCACCAACTGGCCAGACCCGGTACTGGCGATCAGTGGCTACCCCGTTGTGCAGTGTCCAGAGCCCCTTTGTCAGCAGCGCGCGTGAAGCGCGACAAAAAAGGTTTTGACAAAAAAAAAAAATGTATATATATATGAAATGATATGGCAAAGCCATCATTTGGACAATCGATAAAAATATGTATATCGATAGTTTGATTTGGTAGAGCAAGCAGCATGACAAATGGCCACAGTGACGTGCAGAGACATGTTTGATTTCCAGTGTTCCAGCAGTTGTTAACCGCACGTGCAGACTTAAGTGTTTGACAACGTTCAGTTTAATCGCTATTGAAATACTTTGATATAACCACAACTTTTTATCCAGAGCCTCTGGCTGTTTGCGGCAATGAAAAGCTTGGTGTGGTATCATAGACGCTCTGACGTCACTGTTGCCCATTGTCATTGAGGTTATGTTGTATGCTCTGCTTCTGGTGATGCGTGAAGCATGTTGTTGTTTTGGGTTAGAAACATTCGATCGCGGAAGTGATGGTACTTACGAAATCTGCAACATCCATAATGTTATCTTCAGCAATGTTGGTGCAGTCGATGGTGAAACGCAACGAGACCTTCTTCTTCTTCTGGCCCTTGCCGCGCAGCACATTCTTCTTAACAACCTTGCTGGGCACTGCCGCTGGTGTGGCAGGCTTCAGTTTGGGCTTGGCCACAGCCGGCTTAGCAGCGGGCTTGGCAGCAGCCGCAGCTGGAACGGCAGCGGCAGCAGCAGCAGCAGCTGGTGCAGCCTTGGCGGCAGCAGGAGCTGCCTTCTTAGCTGGGGGCGCAGCGGCGGCAGTGGTAGCTGCCTTCTTGGTAGCAGCAGGTGCTGCCTTGGCGTCCTTCTTGGGCGCGGCAGCAGCAGCTGCTGGTGCCTTCTTGGCGGCATCCTTAGCAGCGGCGGGCTTGGCAGCAGCTGGCTTAGCAGCAGCAGCGGGCTTGGCTGCGGCGGCGGCCTTAACGTCCTTAGCGGCTTCCGGCGCCTTCTTTACGTTCTTGGCGGCAGCAGCTGCAGGCTTGGCGGCCTCAGCAGCTTTGGGCTTCTCCACCTTGCCCTTAGCCGCGGCTGGCGCAGCCTTCTTTTCGGCTGGCTTAGCAGCCTTGGTATCACCCTTGTTGGTCTTGGCCTGTAAACATTAAATGCGAAGCTTAGATAAAGTTTACATAAGTTATTTACGCCATCACGACTTTTAGCACAAATCTTGATGTGTATGCACGCGAAACAGCGCTCGCTTCAATATTTTGTATTTTATTTCCATTATTTGAGTGTGATGGCGCAACATTTTTATGATTTTAGTTGAGCACTTACAGTTGGAGCCATCCTATTACTCGAAAACCACGGAGGAAAAGAACCAAAACCTAGAGATGTACAAAAGTCATCGATTTTTCACCGATTGTTGATTGTTTTCAGTGTTTGTAAACACTATTTTTTATATTTGGTTATACAGCACTGGTCAATGAAAAATGTTGGTATTTTTGTAGTATTTTATGGTATTTTGACACTAAAAGTATACAGTCACACTGAACGCTAATTTTAGCATTTCACGATTTTTGGTCTTCTTGATTGCATTTAGATTGGTCATACTGAAGTGAGCAGCCAGCATAAGTGAACCACAAACGAAAACGATAGCTAGTTTTTTTTTGTTGTTGGTTAAAAGAGTAAAGTGAAAACTGCGTTTCTTATACAATTATTTAACAAGTACAATCATGAAGTTCCAATATAAAGAGGAGCATGCATTTGAGAAGCGTCGCGCCGAGGGGGACAAGATCCGCCGTAAATATCCGGACCGTGTGCCCGTAAGTACATATTTTTTTTGTATTTAGTTTATTTCTATATATGTATGCGTATTCTATACTGTATATGTTCTGTGTGCGTGTGTGTGTTTGAGTTGTTTGTATGTATGCGATTGTTTTGCGTCGTTCTATTTAGTAGTGTGTTGTTGCTATTACTACACAACATACACACATGCACACACACACACACACACTGCGGGGAAAATCAATAATGCGCAAATTGGCTCTAGAAGTAATTGTTAACATTTTAATGACCATTTCTGTACCTTTAATGGCCAACTACAGCTGTTCGCATATGCTACATGAAAATAAAATACACTCGTCAAAGTGAACACTTGCTAAATCTCGAGTGAAAATCAAACAAATTGACGCACATACACACACACACACACACACACGCAACAACGGGCTTTGTTCAGTTTGTGTGCGTGTGTGTGAGAGAGCGAGCTGCTAGCTGACTCGCTTGCTCAGCTGTTGTGCTGTTGTTGTTTTTCATTTGGCTGGTGTTGTCTCTCCCCCCCTCTTCAACACACACACACACGGACACTGCGTCAGTGTCCCCCCCCCCCATCAAAGCACACGGTCAACCAGTTGTTTTTTTGATTTTATATCAAAAACATTTTTTGTTTGTTGACTTGCAAAAACGCATGCCAGCCACAGCTTCAAAACTGCGCATAAAAAAAAAAGTAAAAACAAAACTCAGCCGTTCGTTCGCACACACAAACACGAAGTCCGTGATTTTTGACTAATTTCAAAAATTCTTATTTTGTTTTTCCGTTTGCATTGAGTCCACAATTAGTCATACTGATTTGTTCTCTTTGTTTTTTGTTTTTTTTCTCTTTTGCCTATTTCACCACATGCAGTCGTTGTTGCTGCGCGTAAACACACACACACACGAAAGCTCACACTCTTGCCCTCCCCCTCTCACGTTATCAGCAACCTATTTTCCTTACCTGCAAGTTTACAGGCTGCCGATGCCTGTTTATATGCACCTTTTCCGCCTCCCCGCCACACCCTACACATTTTAAGTATTCTTATATCGCGTTCTGTATTTATTATTATTCAACAATTTGAACGCTTTGCTTGTTCTGTGTGTTCACACAATTTTGTATTTTGGCAAGCAGCACAACACAAATCACATAACAGCTGACGACAAACCAAATGCAGGCAAGGCCAGCTGGTCGCTGTCTAATTATGTCCATATATATATATATATATATATATATATATGTATATACTTTAATTATATACATACATTCATACAATAGTCCACCTTCACCTTGAGCGCGGCCAGTGACACCACACCCCACCACAGCTTCTTTCGGCCACATTGCATAGCTTCAGTTAACAGCAATGTTAAAGAACATTCACGGCTAACAGCTATTTCTAACATTTGCTATTATCAAATTGTTATATATTGTTTCGCCTTGTTTCGTATTCGCCTTGCTACACACAAAAATGCAATTACAGCTACAGTAAATATTTGAGCATGAGTGTGCACCCACACACACACACACACACACACAAACAAACATCCATATGTGTATCTATACGTGTTGCTTGATTTATCGGTGTGTCGTCACGTAGTCGCGTTTTGGAAGACGCAGTTGATTTTGTTTTCATGCCGTTTTATGTCCATCTCCTGCTCCCTTAGTCTAAAATGCAATATTGCTTTTTGCTAGAAGGAGGCAGTTCCAACCTCCTGATGTATATATTTATATATATTCTTGGTCAGCGTCAACAGTCGAGTCGATTGTGAGCCTGTTTCTGCAGGCTCAGTCTCGAAGATTAGAGGTTTCTAGATTTGTTTCTCATTTTAAAACTGTCGACAACTATCCCGACCCGATGACTGCCTGCCTGTTTATAAAAGTTAATAGCAAATTATCGATAGCTTCATGCCAACTTACGCGAAAAAGATAATAAAACTATGTGCTAGGTTTTCTTTTTGGCATATGTCACTAATCCATCTCTCTCGTTTTGCACAGGTGATTGTTGAGAAGGCACCAAAGGCGCGCATTGGCGATTTGGACAAAAAGAAGTATCTGGTGCCATCTGATTTGACTGTCGGCCAGTTCTATTTCCTCATACGCAAACGCATCCACCTGCGTCCCGAGGATGCACTCTTCTTCTTCGTCAACAATGTCATTCCTCCAACATCTGCAACAATGGGCTCATTGTACCAGGTAAGTGCCGTCGTTTCCCTCAAGCTTAAGTCTCCCTTTAATCGTCTCCGTTCTCTTTTTTCTGGCTCAGGAACATCACGAGGAGGATTATTTCCTGTACATAGCCTACTCCGATGAGAATGTCTATGGCATGGACAAATAAATACCGACTGCATCTCTCCAAAGTAGCAGGCGTCTTGAACCCATGCAACAACACCTATACAGAAAATTATATATATATACATATATTTTACGTTTAGCATGCAATTGAAAAACAAAACGCGAAAAAACACACAAAAAAAGATAGCTAAACAAATTGTGCAGGTCTAAGGCGGTAAAATATTGAAAAACAAAAAAAAAAAAAACAACAAAAACAAAAACAAAACAAACAAAAACAACTTAAAAAGATCTTAAAAAATGAAAACAAAAAAAGAATTATAAGACAAAAACAAATGTTATGTGAAAATTATTTTATATAAAACATTTTCTATACGCGCTAGTATTTCAAATTACCTATGCTTTAACAATTTTCACTTGGCACCGTTTTGTTCAGTTTAACTTCCTGCTTTACTTGTGTACCGTGCAATTTATATCATTTTGTAAGGTACTTTACCTTCTTTTCTGATTTTTTTTTTCTTTCTTTTGTGTAATAATAATACAACAAAATTTTGTGCATATTTAGTGTGTATGGTTACGAATAGGACTCTCTTGGTTAAGCGTACAGTAATTAATCTACTATTAATTAAATAAATAAAAACAAAAAAAAATATAGAAAATTTGGCTTGTCTTAAAAAGAAAGAAACAACACAATTTGCCAGTTACATCAGCTGTTATTTGTTTTTATCGGCTAAAAGGTAACACAGGTTTTCCAGTTAAGGTCATATAAAAAACATTCAAATCTCATCTTTTTGCTTAAGCCAAGTTCAAGTGTTGATTTCGATAAATGTTAATTTTCAAAATCGATAACATATTGGCAGCCAAAATGAGTTAGCAGCGCTGCCTTTTGAATTATCGTTTGTAAGCAGTCTTATGTACATAACATGTTATGTTAGAGTGTAACAGTTGATTTTAGCATAACGTCTGTATTTGCAATAGCAGCACCATTTTGAGTTTAACATTAACATAGACTGTTGTTTAGCCGGAGTTTAGACGTGTGTTTTTTTTGATGCGGGCAATAGGTGGGCAGGCTTTGCACATTTATTCATAATTAAGTTATTGTTTTTATGTGAAACGAATCAACGGCACCAGTGCAAACGAGTTGCTGACCAAACAATAGGGGTTCGCGTATTTGCAATACGAAAATAAAACACAAATCAGGTAAAATAAAAAATAAAAATAAAAACAGTAAAAAACGATGTCTTCCAGTTTACAAGGCGACGACGGCTCGTTACAAAACAGGCGCCGTTGCGGCCTGAGTGCAGAATTGTTTGTTTTTTTAATGTTTTCTTGTTGTTGTTGCTGTTGCTGTCAAGTACAGCTTCAAACGAATGAAAAATAGCGCAGTTTTATACAGTATTATTATTATTAGTAGTAGCAGTATTGTTGTTGTCATGGCAAACGGCTGCAGCGAGTGCAATTGATTTTTGTTTAGTGCTGTTTCGTGACGCATTTATTCTTTGTCGTTGACCTGGCTCTTTGTTGCTGTTGTTATCGTTATTGGTTTCGTTGTCCAATGCCCAGACGACTCTGCGCCATTTGCCACCCTAAAAAAAAAGAAAAAAAAGGGCAAAACCTAACAGCGATTAACGGCACAACTGCAGCAGCGGTAACTGCTGCATGTCAAGGAAGCTTTCACACTTTGGCCACACAGCATTTTTATTCAATTAACATACATACATTATGTGCACGTATGTATGTACGTGTTGTATGGCGTGTTGTACGGCGAGCAACAACAAAACCCAGACAAACAGCTGATTAAGCAGCAGCTACTACTACTACTACTACCACACGCCTATTGTATACGCACAAGCAAACTTGGGTCTGTGTGTGTGCGTATCACGTTATGACGAGCAGAATTAAGTGTGTTAATGTCCACTCTTTGCTGCTGATCAGCATTTCGTTGTTGTTGTTGTTGTTGTTGCTACTGCCACGCTTTACAGAACCCAAACACACACCTATATGCTTAAACGTACGCGCGCGTGTGTGTGTGTGCTCCGTTTTTGCTGGGAACTATGTGGATTCATTTTATTGGTGCTCAAGTATCGTATGATAATCCATTGTTGTTGTGCTTTTCCCGCGCGCACTAAACTCATACACACACGTATTTTTAGTTGTTGCGTTGCCAACTAACAGAACATTTTGTAGCACCAGATAAAACACCAGATAGAACTAGCGACATGGTTGCTGTTGCGGCTATTTCGAAACAAAAGGTCAAGAAAAAAGAAACGCTACTTATGTACATATGTATGTGTGTCAAAACGAATATTGAATGCTCTCATGTTATCTTATATTTATGCACATTTAACAAGTGCAATCATAGCTCGTTGTTCTGTGTAAAAACATAAGATCAAATTTGTTCAATTAATTTATTAAATTAATAAATAATGCGCTGCTGCGCAAAGATCAACAAGATACGATACGACAAGCTTGTCATACAAGTTCAGCATAAATGATCAACACTTAGCAGCTCTATGGCAACGCCCCTACAACTGAAAAGCAATCAACAGTCTGGCAGCACTTAAAATACAAACAGTCGCATTTTTAAATAATTGTAGCTTAATTTGTGCATGTGTTATTATATTTATTTTTGGTTTTCATTTAATTATCTTATCGTTTAGTAGCTGCTTAAAGCCACAGAAAAACGCTTAAATGTCACAACACAACAAAAAGGACACAGGCAGCCATGCGAATAGCACACGCCAGCGCAAACAGGACGACAGCAACAGCAACAGCAACAAAAGCCAAAAGAAGCAGCAGACGCCCAATGGTAGCGCCAAGGGCAACAGCAACAGCAGCAACACCTCACTTACAGTTAGTAATAGCAGCAACAGCACTAGCAGCAGCAGCAGAAGCAGCAGCAGCAGCGCTGCCAAAATGCAAACGCTCGCAGCGACACACACGAAGCCCAACAGCGGCGGCGGCAGCAGCAACAAGACTCAGCTAAGCAAAAAGGATAAACAGCAAAAAGACAAAGAGCGCATGGAACGCGCACAGCTGGTGCTCTGGCGTCATCCAATGCAGACGTCCAAATACTGTGCATTCGAACTGATTGCACTGCTGCGCACCTGGAGCAGCAGGTGAGTGACCCTTTCTCTCTCTCTCTCTCTATCTCTCTCTTGCTCACTCGCTCGCTCTCTTTCTACTTGTTGCCACTTGCAGATTACTGAAGCAACGCGGCCTGTTGGCCGTTTTAATAGTATTAGGCATTGTATTTAGCATAATTTACAAACTAGATGGGCCACATCAGCTGCTCATTGAGCTGGTGCGTCGCAATACCTGGTTCTTTGTCTACTGGCTCGGTTTGGGCGTTCTCTCATCGGTCGGCCTGGGCACTGGGCTGCACACATTTCTGCTCTATCTGGGCCCACACATAGCCAGCGTTACATTGGCCGCCTACGAGTGCAATTCACTCGATTTCCCCCAGCCGCCCTATCCCGACGAGTAAGTGCTGCTGTGAATGCTCGCTGGATATATATTTGAATGTAACGCGTGCTCTTTCTAATTGGCAGCATCGTTTGTCCGGAAGAGCCGTATATGAAGCGCATGCCCAATATTTGGTCCATCATGTCAAAGGTGCGCCTGGAGGCGTTCCTTTGGGGAGCTGGCACTGCATTGGGCGAACTGCCGCCATATTTTATGGCCAAGGCCGCACGTCTGTCCGGCTATGATCCGGACGATGCCGAGGAGCTGGCCGACTTTGAGGCGCTCAATGCCAAGCGTCACCAGAAGAACCTCAGTCTCATGGACAAGGGCAAGCTGTTCATGGAGCGTGTCGTCGAGCGTGTTGGCTTCTTTGGCATATTGGCCTGTGCGAGCGTATGTTTCTGCATCTACTCTACAGATATTGTTGTTGCTTCATTTCGTTGTTTTGCAGATACCCAATCCGCTGTTCGATTTGGCCGGCATCACTTGTGGCCATTTTCTGGTGCCATTCTGGACATTCTTTGGCGCCACACTGATCGGCAAGGCCATCATCAAGATGCACATACAGAAGATCTTTGTGATTATCGCATTCAATGAGTCGCTCATCGAGCGGGCCGTCGATCTGATTGCCACGATGCCAATATTTGGTCGCAAGCTACAACAGCCGTTCAAGGCATTCCTCGAGAATCAGAAGCAGCGACTGCACCGACAGCAGCGCGGACGCAACGCTAACGCCGCCGCCGGTGCTGATTCGGGTAATCTGATATCAAAAATCTTTGAGACCTTTGTCATTGGCATGGTCTGCTATTTCGTGGTGTCCATTGTCAACTCCCTGGCCCAGAGCTATCACAAGCGGCTGCACAAGAAGCCGCGCCATGTGCCGCCGACTGCCACGCCCAGCGCTAGCATAAGGAAGCATAACAAGCCGAAGGCGCTGCGCGATTAGGCGCCTGCCCACAAAAATCCTACGGCTGTTGTCTCACCCATGCTAAATTCTTTGTTAATAGTTTTTTTTTTCCATTGCTTCTATTACCCTTTTTTTTTTTTGTTTTTTTTTTTTTTTTTGGTCGATAGTCGTCGGATTTTTATTATATATAAATTTTTTTTTGTTTTTGTTAGTCAAATTCCAGCGGCATTTTCAGGGTTTCACTTGTGCTAAAAAAAAAAAAAAAAATAATGTAATATCATATTTCCTTTGTTCTGGCAATTGGAGGGCAGATGCCAAGTGGAATTCCAAAATGGAACCGTAAAAAATTTTAAATGATATTTTGTACAAGTATTTCGAATGTATGTGAAGGAGTGAAAGAGATGGCAATGGCGCCGACAGAGCAGCCACTCGAAATGACCGCAGTAGAGATACCCTAGAATAGAATAGAAAAGGAAAAACCGAAAAACAAACAGAAAAACACAAGTGAAAAGGCAACTAAAACAAGCATGTTTAATGTTAATAATAATAATAATAATAAAAAAAATAAAAAACTGGTCATTCAGTTGCCTTTTTAATGCCCTTGTTTATTTGTAATTATTCCGAATTTCAACTTTTTGTGTGTTTCGCAATAACGAACGCAAATTGTTGTGCTTCAAGATAAACAAAGACATTGAAAACAAAATAGAAAATAGAAAATTGAAATTAAAATCTAAATACGAAAAAAAAATAAATAAAATAAACGGAATTACATATATGAAAAGTAAACATGCTGTATCTCGCTGTCGCTTGATGAACCCAACTTTGGGCATTTGTTTGCTTTGGCCTAATGATGGATGACCCAAAGACCACAAATGTGTTTACCCACAGTTTCTCATGCCAGCTAGCATACAGTTATCCGAGAATCGAATGTATCTTAGACTAGGCTTACAGAGATGATCCCAAAGTGGTTCGGCCTCAGATCTCAGGATCTGTTTGGTATATTTAGCTAATATTTGGTATATTAACTTGTGATATCATTGTAGACAAAGTGCTTTTATGTGCGCTGTGGAATACCCTTAAGATCCGCTGAAACCAGGTCATTTCGCATCATAACTCGGAAACTATTTAAGTTTTCAGTATCTGAAATTTGGTATATTAACGGGTGATGTTAGCTCAGTTAGAAATAGGCCTGCAAATAGTTGTTTAGCTTTGCACTGCTGTCATTTGATATGAAAGGGGAAAATTTGTGCTGGGCTGCAATCAAAGCAGCAGCCAAGGACTTTATGAAATCGAACAACTAATTGATTTGTGATTTAATCACATTTATGCCACTGAACGGTCTTCATTATGTGGCCAAGATTCGGGCTCAGTTACAGCCCAGCTGTTGACAATGCCGGCGGCGTTGGCTCATTAGGCCAAATGGCTTGGCTAGCTGAACGCTGGGCAAATCCAGCTGAGAAGGACATTTGCCTTTGGCTAACAGTTACAGACGCCGCTGGCGTCGCACTTGTCGTTACGTTTATGATGTCGACCCATCCAAGGGAGGGCAGCAGCAACAACAACAGCAACAACAACAAGGACTAACAAGTTGGGCAACAGGATGAAGCGCAATGTCAACAAGACGACACGCGTAAGGCGCCAAAGGACATGCGATAGAAGGGGACGAGATGCGAGATGTCCGTGTCCAAAAACTTGGCACGTACATAAAATATTTTCATTTAGCTGTCAGCATTTATTCAAAATGGACACACACGCACACACGCGTGCCAAAGGATGGCATCCAGTGCGACCCAACTATGCGCGTCCGACAGATTTCAGCTGCCACATTGCAAAGGCCAAATGCCTGCGGCCCTCGGCTGATAGTTATTGTAGTTGTAGTTGTAGTTGTAGTTGTTGTAGTTGTTGTTGCGGAGCTGGGAGCTGGTAGGCGTCGCGCATGAATTCCAGCTGAATGCACAGGAGGCGCGCAGCGGCCACACCCAGAAAGCGGCGCGCAGGACTAAGGGCTGCGGGCAAGGCAACAATTCAACAACAACAACAACAACAATAGCAGCATAACTTGAGCGCAAAGCAAAAAAAAAAAAAAAAAGAAAATAAGTCGGCGCACAAAAGCATGCAATGAAATTATGTGGCATGTGCAGAGCCCAGCCGGAAACAGTTATGCTGCGTGAGTGTGTGTGCGAGAGAGAGTGAGAGAGAGAGAGGTGGAGAGTGCGTTTGCGAACGTGCTGATGCGTGCTCGTGACTCAAGTGTTGCTCCCCAAACGAGCTTTGCTTTGGCTCGTCGCGTGCAAATATGCGAAGCTGGGCACCGAAACTGAAGCCGTTTGCTGTATGCGGCCTGAACAACCCCATCTAATTCCACATTCACCGCAACACCCATTCCCATTCCCATGGCCCATGCTTGCATTTGCCGTTGCTTCAATTGGGGCTGGCACTAACACATGTGACGCCTGTGACTAGTATCGTATGTGTGCGATATGTTATCGATCGCACGTGTGATCTCAGGCAAAATAACGAAACAGTTCAAATGAAAAACATTTTATAAACTTAATAATAAATTGTTTTTCTTTATCTTTTTGATGTGGTTTAATATTAAATTATATATAAAAATAAATTAAAATTTTTCTGTTATCATGGGAACAACTTGACTTCAATTTATATGAATATTTACAATGCAACTTATGCTACTGTTAAGTCTAATAAATAAATTAAGAGAATGATAGATGTCTATTGAAATATTTAACATAAATTCAAGTTAAATCTAAATTATTCCTTAGCAATTGCTGTGACACTCTCTGAAAATGAGCTCCATTACGCAGGTGAAAATCAAAAATTAATTTCAAACAACAAAATTAGCCTAAATACTTTTAGCTAGGCATTTCCATTTGATAAAATGTAAAAAAAGCTTGCGATTATTTCTACAATGCCTGCAATCGATGTTTACAGCGCTTGTCGATAGTTTTAGCGCCGTTCGGCACATCGCTAGCGGCCGTTGCGGCCTGCGAACGGGCCAATTTGGCGACTGTCGCTGTGGCTGCAAAAGCAGAAATTACATAGACATAGACGCGCACCAGCTGTGTGCGCATTAAGACGTCTTTCCAACAATCTTTCAACGCGTTCGCGTTCTTGTTGTTGTTTTCAATTTGCTTGCATGCGGCAAACAGCAGCTGAAACAAACAACAACAGCAACAACAGAAAGTAGAAAGTGCGCCTGTTGGCAGGCAGCGAAATTTTTATTGTTTGTTTGTTTTTGTTTGAAAACTGATTTTTGTTTTGCGCTTAACAGCATAAATTTGGAATACGCGTGAAATTTGAATATAAATTGATAATGTTGCAATATCTATATAATATGTGAGAAGATGGATTTCGCAAATCGCAATAATACGGCCAACAAATTCGTCTGCCCCAGCGACAGGCAGCTGGCGCTGCGAGCCAAGTAAGTAAATCGCAATGCGCTCAAATGTAGGCAATGAAAAATGCCAATGCAACAATTGGGCGCCTGTTACAGGCTGTCTGCATGTCTGCTTGTATGCGTGTGTGTGTGTGTGTGTCCAAGTTAAACAATAGCGTTAACGTTGACTAAACTTAAACAAAGCGCAATGTGAATTGTGATGAATGTGCTGTGCGCGTCATAAACAAAAGCTGGCCGCTCACGTTGTTGTTGCTGTTGTTGTTGCTGTTGTTGTTGCTGTTGTTGTTGCTGGCTGATAAGGCAACAAGCGGCGCGCAACAGTTAGTGCGAAGCGCAACAAAAAAAAAAACAGACAAAAACAAAAACAACAGCAACGAGCAGAAACGCCAACTGTCGCGTATGTGTCGACAAAAGCTTTAGTTATAATTTAATTAACTTTGACTGCGTCAGTCGCCGCTGTCTCCCCCTTCACACATATATACATGTACATCTGTGTGCGTGTGTGTGTGTGTGTGTGTGATTAGCTAAAGCGCGCAACGCTGTAGCTAAACCAAACACACACACACACACGCAGACGGCTTGGCCATGGAATTGCCAACGTGCTGTCAAGGACCCAGCGCACAGCCAAAGGACCACATGTCCTCCTGCTGCCTGCGTCCTTCGTCCTTCGTCTAATCATAATTGCTGACTGGGCCGCTCGCTGAGCTCGTTGCCGCCGTCTCGCTGACAGATTAATTAAATTTTAATAATGCTTCAAGTTCTTCTTTATTTTTTTCTCTCTTTTTTTTTTTTTTTTTTTTTTTGGTTATTTTTATGAACCGCATGCATGTTTATGGCACAGTCGGAATACACAATTATTTATTGCAATTGACGGCGACTAACTGACTGAGCTGTTGGTGGGCTGGGCGAGGCGGGCATCAACATTTACATTAACACGCCCACACGCGCACACGCACACACTGGCAGACAGGCACATGGTCGCTGGCAGCATATGTTTGTGTCAAAGTGAAAACGTTTAGCATACTGTGAGGCGCAATCCCAGCTGACTGTGAATATGTGAATTGGGGCTTTACGCAGAATTAACTACAAGTACAAAACCACACACACACACACACACACAGGCAGGCAGGCACACACGCATGCACAGACATTGAAGCACGCTTTATGCATAATGCCACAGCCGCAAAATACACGCACAGCGGGCGCACCGGATGGCAGCTGTGTGCCAGTTGGCAGGCAGCAGGTTTCAAGTGCTCAATTTACACTTCCGTTCGCTCAATTTTCGCAGCGAGCTTCAACTGTACATATATAATAATAAAAATAAATGTACAAAAAAAAAAATCATCGAAACAAATGCCACAGGCGTGACGCATGCACACTGGACATGGCAAACGAACTGGGCAGCGGCAGCTGAAGGGGGGCGCGGTTATTGTGCAGCTGACAAGTACATGTACTTGAAATTCAAATTACAGTCCAAGGCAGCAGCCGTCGCAGCAGCTGCGAAAGCCCAGAGCTGTCAGGCAGAAACCGCAGTGCTGCAGTGCGAAATGCGTTTAAATTGGCTGCCACAAGTGAACGAGTTGCATTTGCTCTCATTTAAATGAATTGCATTTTTATTTTAAAGTTCAAGAATATCTATCGATATTGTTTCAATATGCTGCCCTGTCTCTTTTAGCGGTAAC